ATAGTTGTTATAAAATATAAAAAGCACTAAAGTACTATTATTAAGAGAACTTCATCATTTTCTATGAAAAGCAGTTAATCTCCTTGATGATTTTCAAAGAAAGGAATGAAAATATGTCTTTGCTCTAGGAAAAGCCTAAGAGGATTTGTTTTAAGCTAATCACTCAGTAAACAAATTGGTCCCCACCAAGAAGCAGCTTTATAAAAAGCAAGTTTAACTTTAATGTGGAGAGGTTCAGAAATTTAATTCTTTTGGCTTCAGAGTGAATAGTGATACTTACAGACAAAACAACTTCAGAGAAAATGGGCAAAAAGGGAAAGGGTTACAAAGCTAAGCCATGACTGGTTTTTTTTTCAAAGCAATTTTTCTGTTTTCCATTTAAATCAACATGGTTCTCCCTTGTGTGTAGCAAAAATGAATGAGTCTCATTGTCCCATTGAAATACCTTTTCTCATCAATTATTTCTTTATCAAAACCCAGAGGCGGTATTTCAAAGAGCAAAAGGATTTCATGAGCTTTTAAAAAAAACTTCCTGCCCCGTGAGGGCCTACATTTTGGACTGTATATCAGATTTTATGGCTTGCTTATTCTGAATGAGCTTTTGACTCACAGTATGAATTTATAATTGAGTTACTGCTTCAGAATTTGGTAACAGAAAATGACCAGAGTGAAGTCTTGGTGTTCATTGGAACTTGATTACTTAAATACCTGTGCCACATCTTCAGAGGCATCTGTGTATTCAGCAGTCCTGAATGAAATTTCTACCTGATTTTGCCTCTGCTGCAAGACCATTTTAGGCAGAAACCATTAGATGGTTAGTAAGTGAAATATGGGTTTCACATCAAGAAATGCTTTATTGTCAGGAAAATATTTCAGGAATCTGACATTTCACTGGACTAAGATTTTGTGTTTACAAATGTCATGGTTGATAAAATTATGTTTCATCATCCTTATTATAAACAAATGAGCCTTTCTGATTATCTTAAAACTTTGCATGGCTTGATCCTGTTTTACTTATGTTATTGTTCTTTTAAGGTATGGAGTTTATTGTTAAAGCCTTGTTGTGTGTGAACTAAGATTTAATTTCCCTTTGAGTGGATCACCTGCTGAGTAGTCTTTTGAGGTTAGTAGTTTGAAAAAAATACAATTGTAACTCACATGCAAAGTTTAGCCGTTTATGAAAATTGATTTAAAAACTGTTTCTGTAATTGGGCAGATTCAATATTCTGAATAATCTCCCAATGGAAATAGTTGAAATGATGTAAAATGTCTATAAAGTATGTTTCCAAATACATTGCTACTTTCGCACAAAATAAAGGAAACCATAGAGACCAAAACCAGAATGAAAGCAGGGAATTTAGGATGGAAGGTGGATTGTCCCAGTGGTTCTGCTGGGGCCAGCTGGATGGGAAATTCGGCCCATGTTTCTTCCATGGTTGAGATTCTAATGAGAGGTGCCCTCAGCCTAAAGGTGGTTGATAAATAAACCTGCAGTGTCAGGGCAGGAGTGTGCAGGGTATAGTAAGGAAACTTGCCTGTCATCACCTTGGCCCTGAGGACAGATGAGGGAAGACGAAATGTGAATTTTCCTCCTAAACCATGAGAGCAGTTGTGTGCAAGTTAGTCAAACTGATGGTGCCTGTGAGGTCCAGAAGTCTTCAAGCCAAGAATTAAATTTAACGTGCTCCCGGGTTGGCTGTATTCCAAGAGGCAAGCCAAGGCAAATACAGATCTTCTCTGGAAGAGTGCCACTTCAGCCCAGGCCTCTACGAATTCCCACAGATAAGAGTTTCAAGGGAAATCAGCAGTTCATATTTAAAAGCCTAAATCAGACAAAGACATTCACCCCAAGAAATAGAACCACCAGGAGCACCAGACTGGAATTATCAAATTCTCAGTATAAAATAAATATGTTAAATATACTTTTTAAAAATAAACAGTATAATACTGCTGTAAAATAAACAAGAAGCAAGCTTGGAATCATAACAAGAAACAAGATATCAAGAAGACTGAACAGAAGAGGAGATTAAACACAGCTAAAGAGAGATTTAGTGAAATAGAATGTAAATATTAAAAAGTACCTAGAATGTAGCCCACCAAGGATGGAAAAACGTGTTATTAGTCATGAATAAGAACAAACTCCTTTCAGACATGATAAACTAAACATTGGGACCAACCAGTCTGCAGAGGACAACTAGAAAAGCACCCCACCCCCCAAAAAAATGTTTGAGCATTTAACAAAGCAAAAGAGAAAGTGAATAATAATTGGTCTCAGGTAGTACCACGAGAGTGATGTAGTTATCTTAATATCAAAGCACACATATCTAAGTAGAGATAAAACTTGATAATCATAAAAGGTTCAATTCAGTTTTATTTAAGTATAATATTTCTGTGTATATCTAGCAGCATAATTTCAAAATGTAGGGGGCAGAGATGAATAGACACAGTTAGAAGAAGACAAACCCACAGTTACAGAAGGGCATTTTCTGTCTTTTTTTTTTTTAGAAATTTATAGTTATATATTTGGGTTCATCCTGACAAACTCATACCTGCAAGGAAACCGATTTCAATTCATGATTTCCCACTTTCCCCTCCATTCTCCCTCCCCTTTTCCATTCTCCTTCCTGTACTCTATTTGATTTCCTTTTGTTCATCTCTTAATTTATATTTGATTGTTTCTCTATATATCCTATCCTTCCCTCCCCCTTTCCTTTATTTTACTCTAGCTTCTGCATATGACAGAAAACATTTCAACCTTTGAGTTTCTAAGTTTGGCTAATTTCACTTAGCATGATGTTTTCCATTTCCATCCATTTACCAGCAAATGCCGTAATTTCATTCTTTTTTTTTTTTTAATGAATGAGTAAAACTCCATTGTATGTATGTATACACACACATACAATATCACAATTTCTTAATCCATTCATCTATTAATGGGCATCTCGGTTGATTCCATAATTCAGCTATTGTGAATTGTCCTGCTATAGACATTGAGGTGGCTGTATTGCTGGAGTATACCAATTTTAGATCTTTGGGGAAAATACCAAGGAGTGGGATAACTGGTTCATATGGAGGTTCTGTCCCTAGTATTCTGAGGAATCCAAACTGCTTTCCAGAGTGGTTGTACTAGTCTACAGTCCCACCAAAAATGTACAAGTTTACTTTCTCACCACAACCTTGCCTGTATTTATTGTTGTTCACATTCTTGATCATTGCAGAGGGGCGTTTTTTTAAAATAAGCTATGATAGAACAAATGGCCAAAAAGAAATCAGTAAATACTTGGAAGATTTGAACACTATAATTAACAAATGACCCAAGAGGCATATTTAGCAAATCATACCCAGTTATCACAGAACAAACCTTCTTTGCAGTTGTACACAGAACACTTAAAAAACAATTTTTTAAAAAATTAGGTCACCCAGCTTTTCTCAATAAATTTAAAAAGACTGAATTAATACCAAGTGCTTTTTAAGCCCAGTAAGATTTAGCCAGCAGTTAATAGCAATAACCAAAAGATGAATAATCTCATAAACATAATGTCAAGTGAAAGAAGTCAGATGCTAAAGAATATGAATTATGATTTCATTCTATATAAAGTTCAAAAATGAGGCAAAGCTCAGCTGTGGTGTTTATGGATGCAAATGAAGGCAGAAAAGGTACAAAGAAAAGTGAGAAATTCTCAAAGTCAGGAGGATGGTTTCCTACTGGATGTGAAGGACTTGGTTGGAATATCAGGGTGTAAGAGTTTCCTCCTTTTATGAACAAAAATGTAATAATTTTCCTTCTATATGTTCTTCCAGAAGAAATTTAGAATGATGTTGTCAGATTCCCTATAAATCTCATCTGGATTTTGATTAGAATTTAAATTTATACATTTCCTCTGAAACTATCTGCACCTTTGAAATGTTGGGTCTTTCCATTTAGGAATATGGTATACATTTCTAGTTATAAGGGTTCTTTTTTTTTTAATTTTTAAGTTTTCTTAGAAAAAATTTAGAGATTTTTTTTTATATAAACTTAACATTTCGTGTTAAATGCATTCCTAGGTGTTTTATATTTGCTTCTGTTGTAAATGAGGTACACTCACCCCCATTTTCTAATTGCTTATTGCTAGAATATAGAAAAGCTATAGTGTTTTATTTTGGGGGGGGGGTGTTATTTTGGTGTTTTTTTTTAAACTACTGGTCTTTCTTAGTCTCAGTTCCAATCACTTAGAAATAAGTTGCATTTTACTATGGGTAGATACTAGTAGTCATGGTTATAATTTTCACATTCCATTAGTATTTCTAGTTGACAGTTGAAAAGAAATGAGTCTTAGTAGGGGATAAAAAGATGGCTCAAAGACACACAGCTAAATATTGAGAGGACTGGGTTGTTTAGTGATTCTGGGGATTTGAATGTAGGCCCTTATGAGTCCTAGCTAAGTGCTCTACTAGTGAGCTAAAGTCCCAGCCCAAAAGCTGGGGTCTTAACTGTAACATGTGTGACACAGAACTCTCTATGGTAAAATTGTATTTTCCCTAACAAGTTTTATTAAACAGCATATTATATAAAGATATGCTGTGGACATGAATGAGATCATGAATGTAAAGTACTCAAGAAAAACACAAGGAATATAATTGAACTATCCAAGTTAAAGTAGCAATTTCACTGTGAAATTGAAAGGTGATTAGAGATACCTCAAATCTATCTTGGCCTTTCAGTAGTTTAAAGTCAAAGAACTTTCTTGTTTATAAAATTTTTGAGATATTCTCTGATCGTTTATGTCAGATACATTTTGAAATTGATGCTTTCCCAGTGGATTGGGGTAGGGGAGGTTCTTTCTCTCCCCTCACCGCTAGCCTATTCAGGGGCCCCTTTCCTCTTTCTCGTGCCTTAGAACTTCCAGATATCATATCTGCCTCGTGTTCTGAAGATAGAAAACATCCCCCCTCCATATACAAACCTACATCATTGTTTGACATTGGGATGGTTATGGGAGTGTTTTGTTCTTCACCAGGAATCCTGAAGTGGGTGAAACTAATCGACAACTTTGAAGGAGAATATGACTATGTCACTAACGAGGGGACAGTATTCACATTCAAGACGAATCGCCATTCTCCCAACTATCGCCTGATCAACATTGACTTCACGGATCCTGACGAGTCTAAGTGGAAAGTGCTTGTTCCCGAGCACGAGAAAGATGTCTTGGGTAAGATCACAAGCCACTTGAAATTCATGCTTTGTTTTTGGTGAGAACACTAACAGGTTGGTGCATCTCATTCTCTGGTGACTGGTTACAAGGTAAAGAACCTTTGACCTCTAATCAGGAATAAATTATCTGAATAGTACATCCAAGTCCTTGCTGTGTGACACCTTGGTAGCTTACTATGAGATCATGTGGAAATGCAGAGTAAAAATCATAAAGGTATGAATTCAGACTATTAAAAGTGTTACTTTTTTTAAATAGCAGTTTTCTTTGTTTTCTTATTGTCTGATGATAATCACCAACATTTAATTTCTTGAACTGTTTAGGTTCACAACCCTGGGCTTTAAGCTTTTGAATAATCTTCTGCTGTTTGCATTATACCTGTTGTTGATCTGCAGATAGGTTTACAGCCCTCTTATTAGAAAATAGACTATTGTCAGATTTAATTGAAAACCATTGTAGTTACTGTTTTGTGTACTGAACCACATTAACCTCTTGAGAACCTCCCTTCTATATTAGTTGTGTCCCACAGTGCCTTTCAATCCCCTTTTATTCATTTTCTCTGATTTTTCCAAAATGATATGCTGTTCTATAAATTATTTATTGCATGAAAGCTTAATTTGGTTAGAAGATTGACTAACTTGGGAGCTTTTTAAAAAAAAAAAAAAATACAAAGGGGAGTTAAGTATTCTTAGGCCAACACGGCTTATTTGTTGCATGTGAACTTCTACTGATGGACCGAATGAGAATACGAGGACCATTCTGAAATGCAAAGGTGTATGTTCTGTAATTGGGAAAACACATACCCGGCCTGCATAACACTCTGTGTCAGAACAAGTAGTCCTGCCGTTTGGCTTTCCTGAACAAAAGTAGAGTGTTGGAGTCAGGCAGGTCTAGGTTCATGTCCTGGACTCAAAAGGGACTCTTTCTAACTGGCTGACGGTGATGTGTTCTCTGTGCCTGGCAGGTATTTAGTTCTGCCATTGCTTGGAGTGAACTGCAGGTGATTACAGCTGACTCTCAGGGTTACCTTTCCTGTGGGCACTTACTGCTGGGGCCTTGTTTCCACAATTCTCTTGGTTCTGGAGGAAGCATTAGTTTGCCTGAGCTTCTCCTCAGCCCTGGGTATCTGACCATACCCTGCCACCCTCTTGCACTGAGATCTCACACCCCTGCAGCCAGTTTTATTAGAGAGGACCCAAAATAACCGTTGCCTGCTTGTTTCTACAAAGTCCCCATGTGCAACCCCAAGGCTGCAGACCATCCCAGGCTCTTCTTATTGTTAGCCAGCTCTTCTGCCTTCTAGATTTCCAGTTCATGTCCCCATCATTTCGCTGGTTTCAGTGAGGCGCCAGTACTTTCTCTCTCTCAGGCTGAGGTCAGTAGAAGGGAGTAACCCTGCCACTCTTTCCCCAGTGGGAAGGGAGACGCGTGGCAAGTGCTCGCTCTTAGCAAATCATCTCATCTGTCTTCTGAAAACCCTCTTTACACTCTGACCCATTTTTGTATTTGGATTAGGGTCCCATGAGTCCTGGAATAAGTCACTCACTCTGAGAGGCCCGTGGCTTTTTCCACATTGAGGCAGGACTATTCCCATAAGGGTAGCCACAGCCAGCCCATAGCCAGAGCTCGCTGAGAGCCAGACTGCACTCGGCTCCAGGTGCATTGACACTTGCGTTGGTGGGGTCAGATAGACTAGGGTGATATAAGTCTCCATGTAAGTACCCTGGTGTTTTGTAGGTGCAAATCAGGTTGAAATAGTGATTCTTATAGCGCAAGCCATCTTGGATGTTGTAAATATTTCCTAAGGCATCTGAATTTCTGCCACCTAAAGCTTAAACGGGGATTTTTAACTGCCTTAAGGTGGCATCCTCTCTCATTGGTTGATCTAGTGAAATGCAAATTAATTGTTGGAGTTGGGAGGGGTGATTTTTTTTTTTAACCTTCCTCTGAAAGGTTATAAGTTCTTTAGACCGGAAAGGGGAAATCTTCAATATTCACTAGAACTCATCAACTCAAAAGAGAAGCACAGTTGAATTTGCTATATATCATTAGCACAGAATGCCCTACCGAGAATAAAAACTAGAGATGAGTCATAAAGTACAGCCATAAAGTCAGAGCTTTTATTAATGACAGTCTACAAATCTCCTTGTCCTTTTCTTATTCACTGTCTGCTTTGTAATTCTGATGTACTCATAGTTAACACAGATTGACTCTTCTTTGACAGCTGTAATTTACTTCAGTTTTTTCCCATACTTTTCTCTCTTTAAAACATTAAGCCTTGTGGGGCTGGGGTTGTAGCTTAGTGGTAGAGCGCTTGCCTAGCATGTGGGAGGCGCTGAGTTCGATTCTCAACAGCATGTACAAATACATAAAAGTCCAAAAAAAATATTTAAAAAAAATAACATTAAGACTTATGAAATGTATTGCTTGATTCAGGTGCTCTTAAAAAGAAAGCCCTGTTAGAGAATGAGCAAATCGCCTTGGGTTGTGAGACTGCTTTATATCCTCACTTGAGGAAAAGTTTGCCTTGGTTCTTCAAGCAACCCCAGATTAGGAGCCCTGGTGAGCTGAGAGTTCCCTCTGGGGAATGTTCATGTGGGTAAATGATAACATTATAAGTGTGAATTACTGGTTTCTTGGGTTGTGAAAGCAAACAGTGTCAAGAAGCCCACCATGAAACCCGAGAAAGGCTTTTCAACATGTTTGAACTGCTCCCTGCAGCCCTAGCCTACTTCCAGGTGACAGCATCCTTCCCTCTGGATGGCCTGTCCTACCCCAGGCTGATCTCTGTGCCTGCACTTCTATTTTCCCCTTTTCTCATCCCCTCACTGACCTCTTCCGTCCCAGGAGCACTGTCCACTGAGCACTGTCAATGCCCACTGCCATCCTGGGAGTTGAGGAGAAGTCATTTCTGTACCCCACTCTCCCATCCCTGCAGTCAGCAAGGCCTGGTGATTTTTCTTGGGAAGTTAGTGCCTTTCAATTCTGTACTTCCCTGTGAAGGCTTTATCCCCAGAGTTCTGACTGGCTTGTTGTAATAGTGTTCATACTCCTCTCCATCCTTCTGTAGACGTCCATTCTGCATTCAACTGTCAGATACTTACATCCTTGGAGAGGGGCATCATAGTACACAACTATGATCTCAGCAACTCAAGAGGCAGAGGCAGGAGGATCACAAGTTTGAAGCTAGCCTCAGCAACTTAAGTGAGGCCTTGTCTGAACATAAAAAGGACTGGGGGTATAACTCAGTGGTAGAATACCCCTGGATTCAATCTCCAGTACTGTTTTTTTTTTTAAAAAAAAAAAAAAGACTAGCCCAGGCAACATAGGGAGATCAAGTCACAAAAAGTAAATAATAAATAAAATTAAAAGACACATCCTTTATGAAATTGTCTTTACTTATGTTGCCATTCTGTTCAGTGGCTCCTCAGTAACAGCTGACTGAACTCCCCTCTACCTGCCATCCACATGCCCCATCATACCTCCACCAGCATCACCACCCACCACGGAACTGAACAGCTTACTAGTCTTCCTCCCTTCTAGCCTCCCAGCTGCTCATTCATTCATTCATCATTCTTTCCTCTCTCTCCACTCTGCCCTTCTTTCCTTGAGTCTCATGCATTTCCATCACCTTGTCCCCTAGAAAGGTATCCTTTCCCTGTTAACCCCTCTGACACCCCACCTCCATGTCTCTACGCCTGTACTTAAGATAGACTTCAACCCTGCTTAAGGATTTACTTATTTGGGGCCCTCAATAAACCACTTACTTTTGGTCTACATTTTACTACTTGTATTTTTAGGACTGTATCTCAAGGATAGAAATGACCTCATCTTCCTACTTATCGCTCTGGGACCTTGCAGAATGTCTGGGTATCTGATATAAACCAAGGACTTCATACATTCTTGTCAAATCATCAACCCTTTCAAACATGACTCACAATTCTATTTTTGTTCTTTCTACCTCACCCCACAGCTTGATGTTGGATACAAAATATGTAGGCAGGTATGCTAGTCAGCTTTCCATTGCTATGACATAATACCTGAAAGAATCAGCTTATAAGGATGAAACGTTTGTTTTGGCTAATAGTTTAGTAGGTTTCAGTCCGTGGCCACTTGACCCTATTGCTTCTGGCCTGTGATGAAATAGCACAATCATGGTGTGAGCTCATGGAGAGAAGGTTGCTCACATCATGGTAGTCAGGAAGCAAAAAGAGAGAAGGAGAGGCAGTGCAGTATCCCCTTCAAGGGCACACCCCAAAGACCTGAGTCCCTATCATTAGGCCCCACCTCAAATTCCACCACCTCCTAACAGCACTACAGACTGGGGACCAGACCTTCCACTGTGAGCTTTGGGGGACATTTATGCAAACCATAGCAGCAGGGTTGTTTGTCATCGCAGGCCCCGACCCCAGGTGGAGGATGTTTTGTTTCCTCTGAACATATCCGTTATAATCACTTATTAGAGAAATTGGCTGAAACTAGATGAATGATTAAAATCAATTATAAAATGACTCTTGCATGTATCTTTGCTTTAGTAGCACCATGGAGAGCTCTAGAACTGTGCTGTTCAATTAATTAATAAATCTTTCACTTATTTTCAAGTCATTGGATTTTTCTCCTCCCTCTGTGTCTTTTCAGAATGGGTAGCTTGTGTCAGGTCCAACTTCCTGGTCCTGTGCTACCTCCACGATGTGAAGAACATTCTGCAGCTGCACGACCTGACCACCGGTGCTCTCCTCAAGACCTTCCCGCTCGAGGTCGGCAGCATCGTGGGGTACAGCGGACAGAAAAAGGACACTGAGATCTTCTACCAGTTCACTTCCTTCTTATCTCCAGGTGAGGGTCTCTTCACTGCTAGTCACTTGAAAAAAATCAGACAAGGGATTTCTTTTGGTAAATGGAAATACAATGCTGTTATTGCAAATCACACAGGCTGTTTTGTAGCCCAGATTGCTTAATGGGAATAAAAGAGTAAAAATAGATGCTCAGAACAAAGGAAAATGTGAACACCTAAAAGTGCACCCTCGTAGATCTTGTATTCTGAGTCTGTTCTTCTGGGGACGGGAACAACTATTGTTCTAAGTTGATTAAAAATTGGTGCCAACACATATCACCCTCAGTTCAGCCTTTTGGTCTATACAGTCCACAAGGACACAGAGTGAGGTAACAAAAATAAAACATAATACCTGTAGCCCCCCAACATTAATAAATCTGGCAGTTGGTAAACTGATTTAAAATATGCTTCTAGTCTTAACCGTATGAAAAAAAAAAGTGTGTTATTTTGGTTCTAGTGGGAAAGGAAGTATACTTGTAAGATTTTTTATTTTGAGACAAGGTCTCAATAAGTTGCCTAGGCTGGCCTCCAACTCATGATCCTCTACCTCAGCCTCCTGAATAGCTGGAATTACAGGTCTGCACCACCACACCTGGCTAAAAGAATTTTCTTTTTCAAGTTTTTAAAAAGTTGGCCACGTTCATTCTGCTTTGTTTTGTTTTTTTTCCTCTACTACTCCACTGTACTGTTGGTATACAGTCACAGCTGTACACATTCTGTGATTTGTCCCCAGGAGTCTGGCTTAGTTGGCAATTTGCAACTGACCAGGCAGAGCCTGTCTTAAAAGCAGTCTGGCTGAAAAATGTCTGCACTTTCCTTATTCATTTGTCGAGCTCCTTCAGCACTTTTTGTCCCACCCGATTTTGTTGCAGTCGTTGGTTCATTAGAGAATTAGGAAGTTGCAGGAGAGAGTTCGGCAGGTGCAAGTAGCTCCGTCCTCCTCTGGGATTTGGCCAGATCACAGTAATGCCTCATCCACTTTTCCTTTGAGCCTCTGAGTCACAGAGCTGGCAATGGATAAGAAATCTTATCGTGGTGACAGGTTGCTGTCAGGGTTATTAAAACCAAGAGAATGATGTTCTGTAAGTAGGTCTGAGAATAGACCTGGCAGGCTTTGCTTTCTTCCCAAACACCTTTCAGAAGATGGGGTGGGGGGGGGGCCTGGGAAAAGAGTCCCAGGAATGTGGAAACCATGCCCAAGGCCTGGAGTCGGAACTCCCTGTCAGTCTGTGTCCCCCACCCTCTCTTCCCTTTTCTCCCTGGAGCCTGGAGGGCAGCAGCAGCCAGTGAGCAGATAGAAGAATCCATTTTCTCCAGATTAACTCACTCACCCTACTGCTGCAGGGGCCACATTTATCTCCTCAAACTCATATTGGTTCCCAAAATTTTACTTTGGAAAAATCTCATATCTTGAATGGTTTAAATGAATAAAGAGCAAAGAAGAGCACAGGCCAGGGGAGAGGGGGTGACTCACCTGCTGTTAATGAAAGCCAGCATCCCCAGAGGCCTATAAAACTCCTTCAGTGACCCCATCTGGCCATTTATTTCAGGGACAAGCTCATCATAACCTAGGGGAAGAAAGGGCTCATTGTCCTAGTATAAAATGATTGGTTCTGTGCAAGCAAAGAAATATTACCCATGACTATGGCTGTGAAGTTTGGAAGGAGAAGTGTGTTCCTGGTTCTGTAGCACCAGGCATCTTCTGAACAAACCTTAATTTGTTATTGCAATGCTTGTTTTGTCTCCTTTGTCTCTTCGTCTTTCTCTCTTTTTCTTCTTAAATGCAACTTGTTATCGAAAACCAGAGAACAGGGCTTTCAGACTCAGACCTTCTAAGGTGAAAAGGAAAAAAAGTCAGATAATTCAAATCTATCTCAGAAAAGGAAGAATTGTCAGTGTGTGTATGTACACGTCATGCACACACATCTACTCAAAAGCTGCCAGGAGCTAGCCTCTGAAGATTAGCCGTTCACTACAGTCAACAGCAGAGACACGAATTATAAGTAAAGCCTCAGGGTCACAAATAAGTATAGCCCCAGTTTCCCGCTGTGAATATGAGGTACATCTGGCAGGTGCATGCCAGCTAATCTTGTTTCCCATGGAGGTACATGGAGAAGATGCATCCTGAGCCAAGGCCATTTGTGACTTTTGCACCTTAAGTCACACTTGGGAGAAAACAGGCAGCCAGGGCAATTTGTAGCATGATGCACTGATTCTCTGTACCTCAAACCTCTTAGCATTTGAACTGATTAATTCTGTGCTTGGGGAACCTTGGGGGTTGCCCAAGGTTAGCTCCAGAGAGATGTGCCTCTTTTAATAATCCAGGACAGGAGTGCCACAGGCATGGCTCTGGGAGGCAGGGATGAAATCTAAAAAGCCTTCACAGGCTGTTTGGGAAAGACAGGAACTTTTTAGGGGTCTTGATTTTCTTTTAATTGCATTAAACCCAAACTATAATCAGATAAACTGGTGTCTACAGACCTCCCTTGCCTTCCCTCCACATAGCAGCTTTCAAGACCCCCCTGGTTCTTGTGCACTTCCCCTAGAGTGCCTCCCTCCTTCCATTATTTCAGATTATACTAGGGACATGCCGGCTGGTCTACCTGCCTCTCTGCCCACTGCCAGAATGGCCTTGTTGAAGTGCTGTTTTCATCTGGAATCATCTCAAGTCCAGAGACGACTTCTGGCCCTAAGGAAATTCCATAATCCAATTTTCTCTTTCGGCCTTAAACCTTGACATTTGTTGCCCAGAGAGCATCTAACTGGTTCTGTTCTTCATGATTCTACAATGTTTCCTTCAAACTCCATCTTCCTTGTTCTTTCCCCCATAGAGCCAAATCAGATAGGATACCAGCATCAGCAGGTCACAGTGCTTCAGTTATGGTGTGAATGTGCAGTGGGCTAGCCTGGGCTAACCCAGGTGGATTGATACATATAAAGCTTTAGTAAAATGTATTAAGGACTGGTTCCTTCAGGTTTAACCCAGTTTCCCTCCAGGACCCATTGTGTACCCTTGCACAGAATAGAAACAGTATTTGACACCCTTTCTTTGAATAATGACCAGCCCTTGTTATTTGTTTACTTCCTGCAGCTGTTGGAGTTGACATCTTAACCTTTCTAGATAAACAAGCATGAAGAGTGCCATCTCCTATTCCTTATCCTGCATTAAGGATTTGCATTCTAGTACTTGGGTGACTTGGGTGAGGTCAGTGAGCTGACAATTCTGGCTCCTAAGTTCATTTTCTGAACTACAGTTTGTGGAAAGTCGCAGCTGAATCAGGTTCTCAAATGGCACATGCGTGGGCTGCACTCTGTCTTCTTTTTGTTTGTTTGGAGACTTTCTTTCAAGGATTTAGGTGCTTTTTGTGTTTGCGATGGGTCCTAGGTACTGATCAAAAAGCTCTTGAAAATTAAAGTGTGTCTGAAGAGAGCCTTTTGCTCTCCAGATTACATTTATACAGTCAAGAACAGTGTTCAGTGTATGTAGTTAATCGGCATGCGGGACAGAGTGTGCTTGGAGGTACATTACATATAAAGCTGTATTCTAACGAATATCCAAATATTTTTATTGGTGCATTATAATTGTACGTAATAGTGGGATTTGTTGTTGCATATTTGTATATGCACACTGTATAACAATACAATCTAGCCAATATCATTCCCCAATGTTTCCCCTTTCCTTATCCTCTTGCCCTCAGTCTCTTTCCTCTACTGTACTGATCTTCCCTCAATTTCCCTTTACCACCACCTTTCTTTTCCTTTTTTCCTCTCTAGCTTCCACATATGAGAGAAAACATATCCTTGACTTTGTGAGTTTGGCTAATTCCACTTAACATAATGTTCCCAAGCTCCATCCATTTTCCTGCAAATGACATAATCCAAATATGACTTAAACTAAGAAAGTCAATACTTTAGTCATGTTATATGTCTTCTTACTGCCAATGTTAACCAGACATCTAATTTTAGTAACCTTGAAATAGTTTATAAGCAGGAGAATTGAAATACATTGATATAGACTAGCTGTCATGCTGTTAATGAATATAAATAAATATATTACTCCTTGCCCGTGGGGGGCAAAGTATTGTTTCTTAGCTGTTAGTGAAGTATATACACAGAGGAGTTGGAAGAAAGAGTATGTCGCCATTTTAATGCATGATCAGTCAATTTAAATGTGCCCCGGGGGAGTACCGTTTGGCTTTCAGTTTTCCAGCAAGTACTGGGATCACAAAATCAATTTTTCATATGCTTGACAGCATATGTTTAAAGCATTATGTGGGAAAGTACTGTTTTCACACCAGCCACTCTAATTCTGTTTCCTAAACCACCGCAGTGCCATTGTTTGCAGACATTAATGACTAGTCTTACTTATTGTTTCTTTGATTTCGTTCTTAAATGTTAGAGAGTAGCATTAAATTCAGGAAATGCAATTTTAATTAGTGGTTAAATAAGCTGAAATTTTTGGTGTATATTAATCACTTTGTGTTGCTACTGAGATCATCAAAATTGAAAAAGCAGTTCCAAAGTGACTATGATCACCTTTGGCCCCCTCTGCTATCGGTATGTGTGTCCCAGGATAAGTAAGTGGCAAGTAGCAGGAGCCTCAGGGTACGCTTCAAGAGACACCTGACTGGCTGTTAACCTTAGGCAAGTCATTGGAGTTTTCTGTCAATTGCCTTTTGGGCAGAAGGCCCCAGGTGAAGTTTCTGGGGTTTTTTTTTGTCTTGCACTTTTAAGTGACCTGCTTGGAGAAAATTTGTTAAATTTCCACAGTTGGGTGTTTTACCCTTTCTTGTTTTTCAAAGTGCATTAGAATCTTCTGTGGTGTGTGCTCAGGGTAGTGTTATAGAAGGAGGGGTGGCATTCAAGGGTAAGGAGGAGGGTGAACTCTCACAGGACACCCCTTGTGCCAGTCTCTGTTGTCAGCCCTTTCTGGGACAGTGACCCTTCTGTTTCAGTAGTGATTGACTGGGACCCTGAGTCTTCTCCTGTCTTGCCTTGCCTGACACACAGTTGTGCTTTGTGGCCCTCATTGCCCTTGCCTCTGTTGGTGAGTCTTGTGGACTAATCTAGGACTTCTCCTTTCAGGTATCATTTATCACTGTGATCTTACCAAAGAGGAACTGGAGCCCAGAGTTTTCCGAGAGGTGACTGTGAAAGGAATCGATGCTTCTGATTACCAGACAATCCAGGTATGGAGATTCTGATCTTATTACTGTGAGAGTTGGGAGATGTGACTTGGGGGCTGGGCTGTTCACACTCTACTTTGTCAGAAGCCACAGAGGCAATCTATAGTAATATAGACAACAAATATCTTTGGAGCCCCTGCTGTTTCTGGGCATTGAGCCAGATGCTGAAAACTCAGCAGTGAGCCTGGCATAGTCCCTGCCCTCTCAGAGCTTATGGGTTTTGCTCTTGTGGCTGCTATTCTTGACAAGAAGCCAAGTTCTTTGTCTCGGGGCTCTTATTGCAGTAGCTATCAAAGCAACACCGTTTGTCTGTGTCTGTCTACTTACTTGAAAATGGTTAATGTTCTCACTCAGGTCTTTCAGAGATTTGCTCCGTGGAAAGTGTTCACTCAGGTGCTGCGAGTCAGTATTTTCAGTCTGAAGTTCCTACAGATTTCTGCTTGGCAGAAATAGAGTAGGCACTCAGTAACAAATTTAAGTGGTTAAATTAACTAGTTAGTTGTCGTGTTACCACAAGCTCCTTCTCTCAACATCTTTTCAAGTGAAGAATCTCTTCTTTGTTTTTTTTTCAGTGCCCCAAGGGTACTGAGTCTCCCAGAAACTGAGTCACTGTATGGTTGATGACAAAGAACATCTCTGTTCCTTAGCAGTGAGAGGTCACCAGTAGTGCTCCCCATGTTTATCCTTTGGGGCTGGACCATGCAGACCACAGATTAGGAATCAGAATGTTGCTTGTGAAGGAAGATTGGAACAGATCTTGGATTAGCATCTTGGACACTTCCAAAGATCCTTTCATGAAACCAGAACATTGTCATTTGGCAAATTATCCTTCAGTTGTCTAGAAATAGTTCAGTTGATGGATTAGATCTAGGTCATAAGCAAAGCTTTGACAAAAACAGGTCGAGTGTTGGATTTGGATCGGGATTGTGGTGTGCCTTCCCCTGTTCCATGTTGAGAGTTGGCAAACTGGCCGCCTGTTTTTGTTGGAGAGCAGCTGTAGCTTCCACCATGCTGTCCGTGGCTGCTTCTGCATTTTACACAGTGACTGCAACACAGATTACAGTGTTGCAGTTTAGATGAAGCCTAAAATATTTAGTATGTTTGGCCTTTAAGAATAATTTTGTGTGTAAATAGTGTTGAATATCAGAAGCACTGGGCTTTGGTGAAGAAGCCCCGCCTGGCAAGCCCGAGGTCTGCCCTGTCGTCTTCATGTAACCTTGTGCCACGGTTTTTTTTCCAACAGTGAAATAGAGCTATTTACCTAGTTTTCAGGATTCCTTTGTGATTAGTATGAGATAGTGCATAGTAAGGGTCTGGCACACTGAATACCGTCTGTTTCTCTCAACAGAAATAAGAAATAGCAGACTTAACAGTTTTCTGTATCAATTTTGCTTACTTCTGACTAGTTTCATTTTCAAGGTGAGCCATTGCCCGGAAGATTTCTTGTAGGGCCTGCAGCCTGTGTCTGGTGAACCATGGCTCATCAGGTTACTTACACTTTACGAATCTGTTCCCTTTTAGGGTGTCATTCCTTACTGTTGTCCCTTTTCTCCATGTGTACAAATCTTTCCTATCAGCTCTTAAATTTGGCCTGGTCAGGGCCTTATTCTAGTCCTTGCCTGTGTGCCCCCATTGAGAATAGATGTACCTCTCCTATCAATTACTGCCAAGGACAACCTGGGAGCACCCTGTACGTGTCCCCTCTTCTGCTCTCAAGAACATTCTTGGCTGCCCTAGATTTGGGCAGAATTACTCTAGAGAAACCCCCTTCTCCTCTCTGTCTCTGCTATGTAGCTTCCTCAGCTCCATCCAAAACCCACTGTTCTCTTCCCCACTTTCCAACAAACTGTCTGTGCCCGAGTATACAACTGCCTTTGGAGTTCACCTGGATTCCTTGACAGGTGCCATGGAGTCCACTTCTCAAACAGGAACATAACTCTCACTTCTCAGAGAGGGTGACTGGGGCTCTAGAGAGGGATTTGTAAGTGGACAGAAAACATCCTGCAGGCATGGAGTAGAAACCACAGGATTTGGGGGAAAAGAGTCTATTTTTGTTTTCATTTATTTTTAGGATATTGTCATTTTTTATTCCACTTGACTCTGAGGTTTATATTTATTCCATTTTTTATTTAAAAAGAATATCCCTGGGACAATGGCATTTCTCTTTCCCTTCTGTGAGGTATTTTATCATTTTGAGCAAACGCTGCAGTACAGATTAGCCTGCATCGTTGGCGGACATTAATTAATGAGGATAATGACCATGCACATTTTTTAATAGTACTGCCTACCTGGAGGTGTAACTAGTAAAAATAAATAAGCTAAGGGGAGAAGAATGGAAAGGTTCTAGAAATGTGGGTAAATAAGCCATGGGGGCCAGTTCCTTGTGGGGTCTGTATTTCCTTAAGACACTACACATTTTAACTGGAAAGGTGAAGGATCTGGTGTCATATTTTTCTGATAGACATAGAGTAAAACTTCTGTCTATATATCCTTTATACATTCCTAATTATATGTATGGGTAGAAATTGATCTGTATCAGAAGTAAAATTTTGAAAAACAGTTCTAAAAAAAAAAAAACTGTTTCTCTTACCATTAGAGGTACATGTAAGAATTGAATTTCATAACTTTCCTATGTTTATAATTTCATTGATGTTATACACCATCAATGAAATTCCATTACGTACAACCACAAGAACGAGATCCTAATTATAATACTCCATGTATGTATAATATGTCAAAGTACACTCTCCTGTCATGTATATCTAAAAAGAACAAACTTTAAAAAAATTTAAAGAATTGTCTTTCAGACAGGTTTATCAAATTTGCAATGGATCAGTAAATACAGTGTTTATAACAGATACAATGTCAGGGACTGTTGGAATTCAGAGACCTGCCAGATACTGGTGGTGCCCCTGGGAAACTGACAGACTGGAGAGGTGAAACATGCAGATCTGAAAAGATAGCCCACCTGAGGTTGTCACCATGGTCAAGGGAAGAGTGTGGGTTTCCTCAGCACTGTGGAGTGTGGGGACATCCTACCAGAGTCAAGGAGGACTCCTTCCTATTGGGTGGAAGTTGGGCAGGGCTGAGAAGGTTGGCTGCCTTCAGGATTCCCAGTTCCCCTGAGACTCATGAGCAGTTACCCCACCCTCATGCAGAGACTGCCTCTGCCTTTGGGTTGCAGTGGAATTCCATAATTTCATAAGTTCAAGAAGACACACACCCTCAGTGCTCTGTGTGATGAGGTGGCCTTTGCCTTGTATGATTTGGGGATGAAATAGATGAAATAATGCACTGTGGTTGAACGTGGCAAAACAAAGGAACATAGTGTAGCAAGATGCACTTTCTGGCTTCTGAGATTCTCCCTGTCCTTCAGCCAGCCATCTGGAGGACATTTTCTCCTCTCCAACTAAAAGGCAAAATTCACAGACCTGAAAAAAAACAGTTAACTGAGTATACTATGAGCAAACTCTATTCACAGCAGTTTCCACTTTTTGTAAAAGAATGAATTAGGAGAATCTTAGTAACCATATTTTATGGAGGGAAGCAAACTTAAATCACAAACAGAAAACAGTAAGGATGATATGTACCTAACATAGACTTCATTACCTGTATTCTTCTTCTGTTACACTTAGGAGTGTTCCTCTTCGGAGCATTACCTATTATGGTGCATCAAGACCATCCTTAAGATGGTTTGCTGAATAGAAGTGTTCCATTAGATGAATCTTTTGGGTTTAACAGCATACCTTGAGCCTTGAGGTCAAAGCAACAGTAATATTTTTCTTTAAATTTAGATTTGGATTTTTGTGTGTGTCTCCAATTTCCTAACCTTGGTGATAACTAATTTGTGGTTGCCAGCATACAGGATTTTCAGAACATATCTTCAGAACATTAATTAGTGTTTTAATACTAACCTCTGCTCTGAGCTCATGGCACATGGAGTATTGACTTACCCACATCCTTGGTGAGCTGATTATTGAACTAATGACAATTTATTTCTGTAGAATTGTGTTCATGCCATTGGGTATTGGTCAGAAATCTTCAGAACATAGCAGGGGAAAGTGAATGGGGGAGCACTTTATAAAAGAAGCTTTTGAGGAGTCACTGTGCTTATAAGTGATTAGGAAATTGTCTGCAATGGAATCATTTGTTCTTGACAATTCATTGCCTAAGTATTGGTGTGACTTTTTACATTGTCTTTCATGGTGACATATCCTTGCACAATCAGATTCCTGCCCTGCTTTAGAATTTTCAGTGTGATGCAGCCTTCCAGTTTGAAGGCACAGTGTTCACATTCAGACTACACATGTTTATGTCCCTTTCCTCCTTTTCTGCATGTCAGTAGTATTGGAATAATTTGACTCTAAAAGATGGTAAGAGTATTTGTTTCTTGTTACCTTATAATAGAGAAATGTGACCCAATTCTGTAGCTGCCGCAGATTTCATACCACTATACCTAAATTCTCTTCTCCAGCTAAAAAACATGACCTTGCAGAAACCTGAGAATATTTAACCCATACTATGTAAAAACCACAGAGAAACCTTGAGAGTGGAGCCACCCTGTTTGGGTAGTTGTGTAAAATCCCTGCAGTGAGAACCCTAGGGAGATTTCCTGAGCCTTCTATGGGGCTTCCCTGCGACAAGGTGGATGAATATCCACGGCTTCCTCAGTCCTGTGCTCTTCCTCTGAGTTTTTCTGACCAGGAAAAGATCTTATTTGAATTATGAATGTGTTCTGTATTGAGATGGGGACCAGGAAAGCAGCTCAACCTGTGCCTGGTTACTTACTGCTTAGGGAAGGCACCAGGAGAAGAAGCCCCATCAGTCGGCTCCTGTGGGGAATGTGGGACATGGTACCACACATGGCCCAGTGTCACCGCAGTTCTGCTTTGCAGGCTTGCCTTGCTGAGATATTAGTGAGTCAACTAGGTGTTGACTTAAAATGAATGGCTTAGATTCAGTTCCAGAAGGCCACCTTGGTTTATAGCTTGTGAGTAATGTTGTCTGTCATACTCGAGGCCTTAACTCTGAGATCAGGCTATACATAAACTCCATATCATAGGTGACAGTTGTACTCTTTGTAGATTTGTTCACCCACATACAAAATTCTAGGTATTCAGAAATCACAGATATTGCTAAGTTTGCTGATGTGAGTAATAAAACCACTTACCTAGGTTTAAATTTGGTTCTAAGAGTGATGAGATTTTTTTGAGATTCATAAAAGTTACTGTTGCTGAGCTTTGCTGATCTCTAGGTGGATGAATTTCAGGGTAGCCATAGCTAACAACTAGCTCAAACTGTTTGCTGGAAAACCATCTTGGAACAGAATGATATTTCATTATCCTATATAAACAAAGTAGGAGGGCTGGGGATATACCTCAGTTGGTAGAGTGCTTACTTGGCATGCATGGGGCCCTGGGTTCAGTCCCCAGAAACACACACACACACACACACACACACACACACAGTAGGAGCTCACTTCTTAATAGAATTGAACTAGTGGCATTATATGTTTACTAATGGCATTTATCTGTTGTCGTTTTAATAACTTTCTGATTCTATAAATGAATTTGAATCTTGAGCTGTATTTTTCAGTGTAGGTTCAGCTGTAAGCTACTGGAAAAATAACATCAAAACATCCGTGAAGGAGATAGTTTATTTCCCTCTTGCATAAGAGAATGGCTGGGGGGCAGTCCTGGGCCAACGAGGTGTTCAAAGAGGGAGGAATCCTACATCCTCTCTTGCTGTTTCTTATGTGGATGGCTTCCGTCCCAATGTCACCACATGGTCCCAGGTGGCTGCTGGAGTTTCAGCCATGTTACATTCACTTTCCAACCAGCAGAGAGGTGGCAGTAGGGAAGAAATGAGAATGGGTACACGCCGGCTGGTTTCTAAGGATGTTTGCTAGAAGGTGGTGTGCATTATATAGGCTCATGTGTTAATTGGTGAAAACCTACTTAAGACCTAATTGCACAGAGGTTTAAGCTGCAACTTTACTCCCAGGGGGAAAAATGTGTCCAGCTAAAAATTAGGGCTTGATTATTCAAGAAACATAGGAATGGATAATAGGGACAAGTAGCAGTCCTCCCCACCATGCAAAACAGGCTGGCAGTCAACAGACTTTTAGGTGTGGGCCCTGAGACCAAGGGGCCCAACGCCACCTGGTGGCCAGGTAACTAACTCCCAGGATCAGGCTTGGAAAAACTTGACTTTTCAGATATTATAATCCAACAGCAGAAATCACCCACTATAAAGACAGAAGCATCTTATGAGGAGACGCTTCTCGCATGAAGAAATAAGTTTAATATTGCTTCCATAACATGAAGTGTGATATAAGGAAATATTTGAGCTTTACGATTAACTGACAGGTTATCTGGCACCGTGTGGAAGTGGGGTAAGCTCCAGGTGACTGATTCTGCACCAGAGTCATAGCTGGGATCACCACTCTCAGCTGCCTTTCTGTACCATTCCTTTGAAGGCTGTGGACACGGTCCATTGAGAGGCCTGCTGTTTGGAAAGGAAGCATGGTGTGAGTCAGCCCACAGGGAGGTGATCAGGTCCCTGTTTTCAAAGCTGCCTCCTCTGCTTTTCCCTAAGTAGTATGGCATACCACTGATGTGGTTTAGGCCTCAGGTCAAAGTTACATGCTCCTTTGGTTTGGATGTGGTTTGAATGTGTCCCCAAAGGTTCTTGTCTTAGGAACTTTGTCCCTAGAAAAGTGGTATTGAGGGTGGACTTTTAAGAGATGGGGCCCAGTGGGATGTCCTTAGGTCATTGAATAAGCTGCCCTTGGAAGGGATCGAGGATCTAAGGTGACTCACCTAAGAGCTCCTGAGAGTAAGTTGTTCTAAGAGTGAGCTGGACCCCTGGATCTGTCTCTGGCTTCCAATTTGAAGATATGCCCTCCTCCTCCACATTCACTTGCCACTGTGAAGTCATCCACCACAGGCCCTCAGCAGAGGCCAAAACTAAATAAGCCTTTTCACTTGATAAAAGTTAGCCTGCCCCCAGTATTTTATTACAGTAACATAAAATGGACGAATAAATATACTTTCTAATCACACACATATCAGAGCTTGTCTAAGTGAGTCGATCCTCAGCTTTTACAGAGGAGGAAACTGAAACTGAGTGCCAAGGCCTTGACAAAAGTTACACCATTAATTGGCATCCAAGGCTAGAATTCTGAATTCCAGACCTGTGCTAATCCTTTACATTCTGTTATCAATAAAAGTTGTTTATTCTCTTTATAGCTCAGGATTTATTTCTTGTTTTTGTTTTACCTCTGCAAGAAACAAATTAGACTAATGGCCTTTAATTTCCTAAGCTTCCTTATCTCTAAAAGAATGTTTCAAGTATCTGGTGAGGACTGGATAGGTTCCCTTATGGAACCTATTGAATAATAGAAATACTGCCTGTATAAAAAGGGGAGACAGAGCCCACAAATTCATATGTTTATGATTTATAAATATTATTTATTTAATGACTCATAAATAATTTTAAGTGATAAATAGTTTATGATGTATTTTAATGTTCACTTCCAGTCTCCTTGTTACATATTAATGGAGATTTCACTGCCTCACCCATTTGTTTATTGGTCTCTCTCTCTCTCTCTCTCACACACACACACACACTTTTATATTTATGGAGCTTTATTTAATGTCTGAAATGTTGGCCACCATGTGGCAGCTTGAACCCCCATTTAAAATATATTTTAAGCCAGGCACACTGGCGCCTACCTGTAATCCCAGCAACTCGGGAGACTGAGGCAGGAGGATTGTGAGTTTGAAGACAGCCTCAGCAAAAATGAGGCATTAAGCAACTTAGTGAGACTCTGTCTCTAAATAAAATACAAAATAGGACTGGAGATGTGGCTCAGTAGTCGAGTGCCTCTGAGTTCAATCCCTGGTACCCCTCCACACAAAAAAATATAATATATTTTAAATGAAATAAAACTTAAGTGTTTATGTCTCTGTTCTTGTCTGCGCATCCCTACTGGTACTCATATTCAGAAATATTCATAGCTTTATTTTGGAAACTAGCCTCAGACCTCTACTTCTTGTGCAGTGAGTCTGGGCAGCAACTTCTGTATCCAAAGAAAGTAACTTGCCATGGCTCTTTCTTGCAGGTCTGCTTATATTCCCAGGGTCTATTCATGTTTTCTGTCTTCTAAATAGGTGAATTTAGATAAAGAAATTGTAGAATTAGGAGGACATTTGGAAATAGGAATCTTACGGTGCTTTAAATTTTCTCTGCATTCAGAAGGCTGAGCAGGAGAAAGCTGAGGGTAATCTCTTCCTGCTTTTCTATCAGTACCATTGCTAAGACCCAGGGGCACATTTTGAGCAGCCAGCTGCAGAACTGTTTTTGCTTTCCTGTTCTATATTCTTGTCTTTTATGGCAAAAAGAGAAAAGAGCAGCTCCGTGTGGACTCTCTACCTGCTACAGTTTCTCTCAACCCTTCATCTCCCCTCCCGTCCCCTCCTGTGCCTTCCCTGGAGTTACATTGATGGTGGAAAGATGATGCGGTGAATAAAAATAGATCCAGCACTGTGGATATTCCATTATCTCCCTGGAGGAAAAAGCATTATTGGCCTGTCATTGGACTGTGAAGAAGAGAGAAAAAGTTTTCCATTTCCACAAGTATCATCTTTTGATTTGGATTAAGTGTACCTTACCTGTACTTAGGAAGTGGACTTTCTCTGTTCACACTCAGTGCTGACTAAATTTACAGGGTAGACCAGAAATGTCGCCATGGTTATAAACGTGATGACGTGGAAGGCAGAAGGAGGTACTGCACAGGATTCGTGTGGGTTCCTAGTCATTATCTGTGTCAGGTGGGAGCTCCCCTAGGTACCTCTGTGGCCCGGTCTGGGTGCCACCTCCCTGAGAAGCCTCACGCCCTCCCAGCTGAGACCCTGCCCACCAATCTGTCTCACCTCTGTTTCATATCTTTTTCCTCCACGATTCATCCTGGGTCTATTCCTTTTCCTTGACTCCATTTTCCAAATTCAACACATTTTTCAGTGTTCAAGCACCTCACTATTTCTCTGTAGAAGCTTTTCTTCTTGTTTCTGCCTCGGGAAGTCAGTCTAAAACAGAAAGACAGCAGAGGATGTCTCCAGCTGTCACTAGACAAAATAAAATGGATGTCAGGGCCTGGCCTGTGTGCTCTGTGCACATCTCATTTCTTCAGAGGTAAGCTGGAGGAAAGCTGTCCTGCAGGGCTGGGCTGGCTTCCCTCACCAGACTGTCATAGTTCAACAGTTGAGTACCCTGAGGTAATTAGTTCTGAGTCTTCACGTAAAAATGTATATAAAACATCATGGCTTTATTAAGACCTAGAAAAACTGTCTCACTTAACCCTGGTTAATGTCTCAAAATCAAGAACTGTAAATTGTCTACTCAGTCTGAATTTAAATGCAGCCCATATTAATTCTGGAGCACTTAAGATCATCTATCAGTTCTGCTAAGTTAAGTAATAGATGATGTTCTGTGTCCTCCCTCCTTTAGCTGTGTACATTTGTATACACGTGGGTGAATATGAGTAGACATAAGTATGAATATGTATAAAAGCATGTTTTTAAACAGAATATCTTCTTTGGTCCCAGTTCAGGTTGGAGGTGATTCTATAATTGGACTTCAGACAGAAAATTAGGGTGTGAGAAATCATCATGCACATGCTGCCTGCGTGTGGACCTTCAAGTTTTTTTTATCTTGTGCATAGGATCTATCAAGTTCAACTCCAAAATGAAATGTGCATTTAGCTAATTTAAGTATTGGGAAGAAATTGGGGGAAAGTATAAATAACCTAAATCCCATAGAGTATGTTGTTTGAGAATCTGCAGATTCTCATTGTTGAACGTGCCAATTTTGACTCTAAAGCTTGAAAGTCTCAGAGATGGAAGGGACAAAAGAGTGTTCTGGGGCATTGCTGGAGCTGCCTCTGCTCACCTGTCTGGTTTTACCTTATTCCAGTCCATTTACAGCCACCAGAGGCTCACCTCCCATACGCAATTCTCTGTCAGCATTAACGTGGAGCTGGGATGGGGAAGAACCACTTTCATTCATCCCATCAGTGTGTGTTCATTAAAAATTTACTATGGGCCAAGCATTGTGCTAAACAGTAAAATATAGCAGTGACCTAAAGGCTGTGGTTTTTGCCCCTGTGAGGAATAAAACAAGCAGAAAATAAGCATCTACATTGCAGGTTGGTAGAAGGACCTCAGCAAAGAATAGCTAGGGGCCACTATAAACAGAGGGGTCATGAAATCACCCTAAGTTTTCACTTAAATGGAAGTCTAGAGGCCCAAAGGGAACTAATCATGTGAAATGGGATGGGAATCCCAGAATATTAAGGCAAAGACCCCAAGAACAAAGCAATGAGCCTCAGAAAGGACCTGAGAGAAGACTGGGACCCAGTGAGGGAGGAGGAATGGACAGTGGGCATAGGGAAGGTAGGGCACATGGCCATGTTCAAGATTTCAGATTTATTCCAAATGTGGTGGGAGTCACTGCAGGGTTTTTGCACTGAAAAGTACATGGTTCTGACTTAAGAAATTATCCTCTTCCATGTTGTGGAGAACAGATTACCCATGGGAGGGAACCAGGAAAAGAGATAAGGTAGGCTGGACTAAAGTAGAAATTGAGGACATGGGGGAAGTGGGTTTGAATGTACCTGGAAGTTGGACCATCCCTGGCATGGACATGCTAAGGGATTTCATGCTGGAAGGGTGAGAGAAAAGGACATATCAAGGATGACCCTGAGATTTCAAATTAAAGCAACTGGTACCATTTATGAATGAGTTGGTAATGGGTTGGGTAGGGAGGGTTCAAGAGGGAAAATGTTTTGAGCATGCTAATTTTTTGGTACCTTTTAAACTAATGGTGAAGTCAGGTATAGAGTTAGATATTTGAGTCTTATGCTTGCAGGAGAGATCTGTGTTATAAGTGTGAGAATCTTCAACTTCAATATGTTATTAAAATTCAGGGATGGGGACACAATCTCAAGGTGGGGGAGAATGTAAAGAGTGGAGAAGGCTCAGAACTGAGCCCTGAGGAGCCCCACATCTACAAGAGTGGCATACAGTGCCCAGTGCTCAAATGAGGTCAAATGAAGAAGGGAAAGAGTTCCTGGATTTGACAGGGAAGATTCATTGTTGATCTTAACAAGAGCATTTTTAGCAAGCAGTGGGGCCGACCGGTGACTGGACAGGTTAAACTGAGAAAGACAGGAGAAAATGTACATGGCACCCATAGCATTGGTTCCTTATGAGTGGGTGTGATTGATGGGTGGGGAGGATTTGCTTTGCTTTTATGCATTCATTTCCTACTAAGAAACAATCTCATATTAGTGCTGCTATGTCACAAGCTAAAATTATTATTTTTTTTTAAGTAAAGGATTCTTGAGTGGTTTGAGTATCTCTGACTTTTAACAGCTGTGGTTTATATCAGCTTCCCACTCTCCCCATTCTCTTCCTTCTCCAGATTACTTTTCCATTTGTCATTTTTTTTTTCCTGTAGACTAACTGGTATAGCTGTGCTAAGAAAACTTATCAATCCAAAAAATAAATTTTCTTTATTTTATAAAAACTTACTCTACAATACAGTTTTGTATAACATTTGTGGCCTCAGGGAAGAGGCATAAAAATGGGAGAAATGGGGACCATGTGTGCAGACAGTCTTGGGAAGTCTTTTTGCATGGGGCAAGAGGGCTGCATGAGGTCTGTGGCATGTCTTACTAAGTGGGAAAAATCACATTGTTTTGGTGTTGAGGATTGGTCCCATTAAGCAGGGACCCACTACAGGAGCTGACCTCAAGGAGGTGAGGGGGATCCAGAGCTCCAATGGAGGATTGCCTTTCACAGAGGAGGGGCATTTTCTCCATTCTTCCAAAAAGGAAGAGAAAACACACTGTGCCGGTGCCTGTGGGCTCTGGAGTTGGGGATCATCTACTAGCAGCCCCATCCTTTCCCTCCTGAGACTTCATAGGCCCTGAATTCTCATCTACATTTTTTCAGACCCTTTTTGAATTTCAACTAAAACTTAAAACATAGTTTTGAAATCTTTATGTTCTTTGTTATGTGCTCAGTTTAGGAGTGGGAATACTCAAATATTGAGCATTGGAATTTTCTCTTTCTTAACAATTAGATTCCTACCGGGTTGTTCTTTTCTGTCAGCCAGGATAAGCTAGATCATTGAGGTTAACAAGCAACTCCAGAATCTTGAAGAGTTAGCCTGAGCTTTTCTTTTCTTTTTAATTTGCAGTGCTGGGGAGTGAACGCAGGGCCTTAGGCAAGTGTTAGGCAAGCGCTGTACCACTAAGCTTCATCCCCAGCTCCAAAGCCAGAGCAGTTTAGTCCCTCATTTTGGCATCCTGTCACACATCAGCCTAGGCTCTTCTCCATGTCCCTTCACTGCAGGAAGGGACCTTCCTACCCAAGCATCACCTATTCCTGTGGCTCACAGAGAGCGTATTTAACCTACTATGGTGGCCCTCATTCCTTCTGTCTAGAAGTAACAGCCCCCATCCTAGGCATGTAACATCCAACACGTGTTCTGAGGGCAGACTACCTTGGAAGTGGGAAGGGAGTGTGTGGCCAGTCCTCTGTGCAGGAAGGAGAGGAACGGAGCACCCAGGACAAGCCCTGCCAACTGCCCTTCCCAGAGAAGGCAGGACAGGCGTTGGTAGAATCTGGGTGTCATCTCTACACAGTCCCCTTTTACCTTTTACCACAGCACCTAAAATCCTGTCAAGAGACATCCATTCCATTAATTTAAGCTTGCGTTTTTCCGAGCATTTTCTTTACAAAATGCAAACAGCTCTAAAAAAAAAAAAAAAAACTAGTGAATAGTCCTTTTCTTTCTTCTCCTCCAGGGGCCTTATTATTTTCTCTGGAAGACTCAAAACCATGGGAGAGTTTGCATCCTGAGCACACTGTTTTTCATTAAGTAACATTTATTTTTCTACTTTACTTAATAAAGAGCATATAGAACGGCCAGTCAGAGCTTCTGTCCAGCCCAGGTTGAGCTACTGATAACCCCAGGCTAATCTGTGTGGCCCTTACAGGCCGGCTTCCCCTCGGGCTTTCAGGCATGCATCACTCCTCTGTGCACCCATTTGGATCCAGGGTTCCCACACTTATTTGAATGCTTATAGTCTGTGAGGGACAGGGGCAGATGTTGGAGGTGAAGAAGAAGCACTTTAATACAGTGCTCATTCATCAATGAAAGGACTTCTTCCTTGGGGTGACATTGGTAGATTGTGGCTCCTATAAATGCACTATCCCACAGTATTGATAGTTGTGATAGTGTCAGTTTGGGTAAAAGTTTATGTCAGTCTTGATACATTAGCAAGCTAACTTCCTGGTGGGGGCTAATGTTAGTGGGCAGGGCAGCCAGTTCTGAGCTCAGCGGTACAAAGGAAGTGACTATGGGCCATTGTTTCCTAGGATAGTGTGGCCTCTTAATAAACAGCATGTCCCCTACCATTATGTTTGTCTGCTGGTTTGACCTTGAATAATGCCCCCAAGACCCCACAGTCTGGCCCCTGCTCTCTCCCTGTCTAAATCTCCTGCCACTCAGTCTCCATCATTCAGCTGCAGCCATACTGGTCCCCTGGTTTTGCCCACATGCCCTCCCTGTTCCAGCCCTCTCTACTTGGGAGTCCACCCGACTCTCAGCCACTCCTTCACTTGCTCTAGTGCATGGATCAGAGACGGGCACGCTCCACCCTGCATACAGCAGCCCTTTCCTACCGCCTCCTCCCTGTCCCAGCTTCATTTCTCCATGGCGCTTCTCACCAGCTGACAGTACATTGTCATTTGTTCTTGTGTTTATCTGTCTCGCCACTAGAATGTGGTTTTGCCCATTGAACTATCCTCAGAGGACAGGGAAGATACATATAAATGCTTGGAGCATGAAAGAGAGAGGTCATGATAGATAGTGGACTCTGAAATAATCTTATTGTTGCCAGAAACCTATAAAAATTGAACATTTCCTTTCTGTAATATTTCTGTGTTTGACTGTCTCCCTCTTGTAGGGTAATTGGTCTTGTCCACTCAATACAGATAGTGTCAGAAAAATGAACATT